GAATGTCCATGTGTTCTATTTTCGCCTCTCTTTCATCGTCAGCACCCTGAACGATACTTATATAAGGCAACAAAACGTACAGATTATCACAGGGCACAGTATATAAAGATATATGCAGAGCTTAGAATGAATAAAATGATACTTAAAGAAAATAACCTTAAATAAACAAGTTTACATACCCAACGACCCCTCCCCAATAATCGAGAAAAGCCTTATTGACCTGCTGGAACAACGTGAGTCTTTAATTTTTTTAGATTTGATTTTTTTCGGTAATGATTTCGGAGAGATATATTGTATTGCAATCGATATATATATAGTCTACTCCCGACACAATAGCCGCCCATTCCGTTGTTTTCTCTTCTGTTTATTAAACTCTTTCGAGGATTTAATGAAATGTGTATCTGATCAAAAAATTATTATGTAATAGCATGTCGACAAGAATTAATATGAGAAGTTTTAGTGGTAATATATAGATATAAAGCGGTTTTGATAATTTTAGAGCGCTATCCTAGCTACAAGCATTAATATGGGATAATTTTAAAACTCACCTCCCAAAAAAATGATCATAAACATTTAATTTTGCGTTATCGAACTCATTCTAATGAGCAGAAACCTTCTCCCTTAGTTAGATAATCCGAAGGGAAAATACTCGGCTGGACTGTTTGTGCTAAATACAAAAAAGTTTATGTTTCTGACATTGATCTAATATTGATTTTATTCTACAACTTAAATCAATACACTGATAGCTATTTAAATAGTAGCACAACTTTCAAACTTTTTTGCATCCCTAAATGAACCCCTAATTATGGAAAAAGTGATCAATGATGAAATTGACATTGCACAACTTATAGCTTTGTTTTTATATTTAGGCAATACACTGCTTTTGGACATTTTGTTTATATAGAGTTACAAATTATTTTGTTCATTGCCAGTAGACACTTGTTAGATCATGATTAATTATTATATGCCAACGAAGGAAAATATTATAAAACATTTTCATAGGTTTTATTTTGTTTTAATGCAAGCAGTTACATATGTGTATAGATACTGTATTAATCATCTTAATTTTACATTGGACATTAACAATTCCGTGTCGGGAGGCATTATAACCGTTATAATGTCAACAATGATTTTTATCCGAAATCGGCCTGTAGGTTAAGGGCCACTATGAATAACCTTACGGCTCTTTATGCCACTTCTGTTGGTGCTCTGAATTCCCCAGAGATATCGTAAACATGTTAACTAGCCCTTTCCTAATGACGCAATATAAAACTAAAATGATTTAATTTATATGAAACAGCTTGAATTTCAACAAATGTGATACATAAGAGTTATCCGGAAGAAAAAAATCTTTCAGATGAGTTTACCAAAAAATGACAAATATCATCCCTATCATTTGTATTTACCTTCATAACATATTTATTTCCTGGTTCGTATCATTTCAATATTTCAAAATTAAAAGCTGTGTTTAGCATGTACATCTATCGATTATATACATGAATTACTCCAACGGAGTAAAAAATTTAATAGATTACCTTATATTCAATTTCCTCCTTACAATATTTGAGTACATTTGCGAATTGGCTTGCTATTAAATATCTAAAAATAATCTTAGTCATACATTGAAGATGTACAACGTATGTTGTTGGATCGATTTCAAGTTATAAGAATTTTATTTATTTTACCAAAAACTACCAAATAAGAACCTACTACAATTGACCACCACAAATATTTTATTAAATAAGTTGTGAATGTGTATATATATGTTGACGATATTGACATGAAGTGCGATTATAGTGAACAAAAACTGAATGTGTTTATTCGACATGCAAACAATGCCCATCCCTCAATACAATTCACGTATGAAATCTCTGATTCTAAGCTCACATTTCTTGACACTACCACGTAAGTGAAGGATTAAATCATATTTACAGATCTGTATTGCATGCCCACTGACAAATATCAATATCTTTATCCTTTGAGTTGTCATCCTAAACATTGCACCAAGAGCAATCCTTACAGCAAGGCCATCCGAATAAAACGAGTTTGCTCCACAAATGACATTACTAAAAGGCCACTTCAAGAACTTCGCAGTCACCTAACAAGTCGGGGATAAAGAAGAAAAGACATTGATATAGGTTTCTCTCGTGTCAGCTGAGTTGAACATTTACAATATAAGGAGAAAAGAGTCAACAGTAAGTGCCGTTTGTGCTGACCTACCATCCTAAATTTTACAAGTTATCTCATCTTTTCCGCGAAAATCGGAACGAAATCGAAAAACATCCTTAGCTATCCAAGATCTCTTCCGAGCCACCCGTTCTGGCTTTCCGAAAACCCAAATGCCTTAAAGACTTGCTGGTGAGAGTTGATCTATCCTCATAATCAGGATTTCGTCAGTGGGCTTTTGCAACGATGTTTGACTTCCAAGCAAATACTGAATAACCAGACTTTTAACAGTCGCTCCTATTGTACGGAATAGACCATATATTGCAATGTTAATTGCAAGACTATAAATCCTGTTCATCTTCTACAGTGTAATTGTGATTAACAGTATTTTGGTGAGTCAGAACAGTCATTTCACAAACGTATGAACGTCCATCGAAGAGAATATAAATGCATGCCAGACCTTCCTCTCAGTCCACATGTGAGATCCCCTGGCCACACTAGGCAGATCTGAAATGACTGACTATAACCATCATAGAGGATAATGATGAAAAAAAATTACCATCATAGACCACAACTTTGCTGGGTATACGGAGGATAGACTCATTCTAGAAAGATTTTGGATACGAAAATTAAAAACTTTGACACCAAATGGGATCAATGAAAAGGTGTAATTCCAATTCGCGCAGTGCTTTTCGTTTGGGTTCTATTATTACCCAGTCTCTATTACTATTCTTTTATCTTTGTTAACTCTAAAATTTTAGAATTATACCAGTTTAAATCGCAGGGTGCTATTAATTAGGGTTAGATAAATACACAGCAACGGTGTATTTATTTAACCTTTGTCTAAATCAAAATTTAAAAATTATACCAGCTCAAATAGAACTGCTTTTCATTTGGGATGAGTAAATACGCAGCCTCTGTTGTAATTACGTTACCTTTGTCAAATTTGAAATCTTATTATTATACCAGCTCAAATTGGTCAATGCTTTTTCATTAGTTGGTGACCTTGGGCTGTTTTCTGCTCTTTGGTCAGGTTGTTGTTTCTTTGACACATTCCCAATTTCCATTCTCAATTTTATTTTCATAAGGAATACATTTCTATGTAGTCTCTGTTGTAATAACTTAAATTACGTCATTTTTGAAATTTTGGAATTAAACAAGATTTGTTTGGTTTTTTGTATTGTATAACTGTAAAGATAGTTATTGGGTTAAATCAAAATAGATTAATATAATTCATTTTACATTATCAAAATCATACTGATGACGGATATCTGTTGTCCGAAATATTTATAGATACTTATATTTTATGTTTCCTTGAATGTAGTCTTGTACTATTGGTGTTGTTTTGCACATTTAAGGCGTATATACATAGAACTAAAATTTGCAAATCTAAATTTGTGGCTTTAATTTGAGAGGAAATATATTAAATTTACCAACCGTGGAAGACCCTCATGGGTAGTCAAGGTCGTTAAAAAAAATCCTCGTCATCGACAACTATAATATATCTAAAACAATAGCTGTTATTTTAATTAAAAAAATAATTGCTATATGTAAGATATTTCTGTGCATATATACAATTCAATCTTTTTAAATCTGTTTTTACTTTCGCATTAAACCAGTATGGTAACCACTGGGATTATTTTCAACCATAGATAGAAAAAAAAGCTATATGTAGATGAATTGATCTGATTGATAAGGGTTTTTTATAATTGAAGTCCAGTTGCAAATATCCCATGCACATTCAGAAAGATTAAATCTAATACGTAAGATACACTACGTGGGTCAATCGCGGCCTCGTTAAAAGACAGAAAAAAGATGGTTAGTTGGAAAGTATCAAAAATTCCATCTTGCAAGAATAAAGTTGATCAAAGACCAATATCGTAAAGTGAACCTAAGAGCTCCTCTCTCGCTCCCGGTATAAAAAGGGGGAAATCGAGAATAAATGCCCACTTTAAGTCAAAAATGTACCAATTCAACACTGTAATGAGATCTTTGAATATTGTTTTTATTGGTATACATATTGATTTTGTTATCAGTACATAATAACCATACTGAATGTTATTGTTATACACATATGCCCCTTCACGTTACTACAATCTGTTAATACCTAAATTTTGGCATTTCACAAGGTCATGTTTTTCTTTGACTTTTAATGGCGTCTATACGCTAATTTCATTTGACATGTCAGTCTTAGATACATTATTTTCTTTATTAGTTTGTTATTGGCTTTGAACTAGCGGTCAGTAATTGCGAGTACTCTCAGATCTGTACTTTGCGTTTTTTTGTTGTTGTGAGGGATGTATAAATGCCCGTCCACATCAACTTCTTGTTTTTGTTAGCTGTTTTTTTCTGCTTCATAATCGATCTGATAAGTTAAGCCCTTTACAGCTGATATTTTGATAGTTTGTTCTTATGTTGTACTATTATCCCACTGTCACAGTTTAGGGGACGCCTTCTAACATGTTTAACCCCGCCACCACATTCTTTATGCGTCTGTTCCAAGCCAGGGGAGCCTGTAGTTCAGTGGTTGTCGTTGATTGTAAATTGTTTTGTTATAATTTGGCCGTAAGTTTTCTCAATTGAATTGTATCATATCTTTCATGTCGGGGCCTTTTAAAGTCGACTATACAGTATAGGGTTTTCTCATTGTTGAAAGCCATACGGTTGCCTATAATTGCTTACGTCCACGTCATTTGAACTTTGGCGAATTATTGTATCATTGGCAATCATACTGCATCTCCTTATTCTTATATTGAAATGAAAAATATACACCACTGGAGTGATTAGAGAACTAAAAATCAAATTGCAAAGAAAAATAAAAGCAACTCAAGAAATCAATTATGTTGTAAGACATGTTCCTTTATTTTTTTCTTTATTTCTAACAAAATACAATATTTTTTTTTAAATTTAACAATTATATATAATTTCAGGTATGTAGACAAATTTATCTTTTTGTCTACGTCTCATTCACATTTCTGATTTTCTTATTCATTACAGCTTTTGCATGTCAGTTGACAACCAGTTTTGTATCCAAAACATGTACATAGATGACACGTTAGTTCATTGTAATTGGAACGTACTTTCTGTAAATATCATAAGAAATATTATATTTTAGATTAGTTTATTCAAAGAATATATATAATCTTATAGTGCAACAAATACTATACAAATATATAAAAATTGAGCATACTGGTAGATAAAAAAAAAACAAAAATCGCCGGATAGTGTAAGTGATAACATAATTAAACCTTTTTTGAAACAGAGAATGATGAACTATTTACATTTTTAATCAGTAAAAACAATTCGTAAAGAAAATTCCTATCATCACTTATATAAATATTCTCATTGAAAAAGTGAACTTTATTTCAGCATCATGATTTGCTTGTTTGAATAAAAATTGCGACCAACGAAGTAAGTTCTATACGCTTGTCAAGAACGGATAGATTATAAATTCAATTGGACTGTTATTTGTATTGGAGATCAGTTTTACAGTTAGTTATAAGGTCACTTATATCAAATGTATATAGATATAATAAGATGTGGTATGAGTGCCAATGAGACAACTCTCCATCCAAGTCAAAATCTATAAAAGTATTTGCTTAAGAAATTCTTTGGATTTTATCAAGTTTAAACTCTGCCAATTCATAATTTGTATGTTTGCATAGGTAATTATTCATATTGAATTTGAGATCAATATTATCAATACACGTGTTTTTTTTTTTTTAAATTCGAAAACCCCTCGTAAGTAATTAAAAAAATACTGTTTTTGAAATTTTCAATTGTTATATCTTACAACGATATTTGCCGAATTAGTTTATTACTTACGACTTGCTAAACATTAATTTATTAGCAAGAGTATTCTCCTCTCAAGCCTGCTAACTGTAAAGGTGTTACCCCATTTCGTTCCTTGTGGGTACATAAACTAAACGTTAACTGACCATCCCCATTAACTCCGCCTGAAACATGAAAAAAATTGTTTCTATAAAAACTGTTTTAAACAACATGTAAAATTTGAACTTTGGCAGAATGTATTTGAGCAATTGAGAAAAATATACATTTACCACCATATACATTGTCATGAACAAAATAGGTTTCGAACAAAAATTTCTGCATGTCATTTTAATGTAAAACCAGATAGCGTATAATATAATTGTATTCGTAGTTTCGCCCGGAGTAAACATTTTAACGATTGAAAAAATTGTATAATTCATATATACGCCAGGTTACACTTATCTAGTCCAAAATACTTGTCTTATAGTTAAATACGACATCAGCCCGTTTAGTTTACATGTGGCTAATCAGTGACACCCTAATAATTTTTGTTTTAGATATTATGTAAATTGAACAGTAGGAGAGCACTGTTAAACAACCAAAAGTTCTCAAAAAGTCTTGCCACAACTGTCCGGGGCCATCTGCGCCTAGTGTTTCAGTTGAAATCAATATATTATTTTGGGAAAAGTAAATGTATTGAAATAAACAGCATCAATGATTTAACATGTCCGCACAGAAATTATAACTACTGGGGTTATGACACCTTGGTGGGCGAAAATTCCACCAGCAGTAACATTCACCCAGTCGTTGAAACGCCTGACCAAAGATACAAGGCCTATAATAATATGTAAGATAAGTGTTTTGTTTACATAAGACTCCTCAGAAGTGCTCGAACCAAAACAGTAAGAAAGCCATAATGGCGAAGTTGAGTCTAGTTTAACACTTATTATGTCAGATATTGAAAATTACACAATTTATTTCGTGTGTCCAATGCGCTTTTCTGCATCTATCTTAGTCAGGAAGGCTTACACTCAAACATTTGAAAGCAAATGATTTACAAGACATAAACACGCAAAGGGCAACATTGTATGAACAAAAGGGACCTAAAGAATTGCCAAATTCATCTAAAGTCAACTTTGCCAGAGGGAGTTGAAACACTAGTGTCTTTAATAATAATTTGTTAAGTTGTGTCAAAAATGAACAAAAAACAGATTTTAAGCGATTTAATTTTCTTGCAGTGTTATTTAATTTCAAAAATAAAAATTCATTCATAAATTATTTTATCTTCAATCCATATAAATGTAAAAAAAATATAAACAGTAAATAACATGAGAGTCAAATTGTCACTTTTCATTCGCCATTACATTTTATATACGCAAATTGCTTCTGGATAGTGATAAAAGGTGTATAATAGCGCAAATTATATAATTGATATCAAAACAAGCACCTATAAATATATACAACCTATAATTATTTGTTCGGTATCTAACTGCAAAGATCCACCGCACATTGAACCACTAGCACGAGTCACAGCCTGGATAACATCTCCTGGTTTCACTTCAACGTTTTCAGGCGCCTTTTGCAACAACAACAAAAAAACGTAAATTTAATTATTCAAAGTAAGTGCCTATAAATAGCAGCACATGACATACAAATCTATGGGAGTGTGGATTAATCAGTACAGAGATTAATTCAATTACACAAATAAAATTATAGATTGCCTAACAATGTAATTTTAACACACTATTTAGTATGTAAATATAAGAATGTATAAAATATTTACAAAATGATGAAAATAAAGGCAATATTTCGCTAGACTAACTAGCTTTATCAAGCGTGCATCTATCCAGGTGAAATCGGATGTAGATGATAAGAAACTTTTGCAGCTCAATGTATATGTTGCACTTGAATTTAGCTGCCTTGAAAATAATACATAATTTGAATGAAGTTCAAGATTTTTACAAAATTGGTAGTTGAGGTTAGCAACGTCCATTGGCCAATATTACAGGATAAAAAGGACGATGCTGTGTACTAAATATATTTAAAAAATATTAAAAATTATAAAATATAATTATGTCAAAGTATATATATATAAAAAATAATACTTTTTTATTATGCTTTTAATAAAAGCACAAGTGTTTCAATTTTTATTTCTTCAAAATTTCGGGAAAGCAAACTTTTTGAAGTGTACGAAATAACTTTGTGGCTAAATTGTAAATGTGTTTCTGTGCTGATACAGTATAATAAACTATAAAAGGTCAAATTCAGGCAAAAAACTAACAACCTGATCAGTTGTAAATAATCTGACTTATCAGATTGGTACTAGGCAGGAAAAAAAAAACAACTGACATAAGATGAAAGACTAAATACACAAAGTACCGATCTAAATTCATTGCAAATATAAATAAATCTGTAATATTATAATTTGACTAAAACACGGGAAACAAACAATTCAATATGACAAGAAAAAAACCAGCACATAACGCAAAAACATATTAATATGGCACATTATATATTTTTAACTGTGTATCAACTAAACCGAATAATGTCAGTCGTAGTTTTCCGTCGATCGTCGATTAATCTCCGATTGCTACATTAAAGCCTGAATGACCTCAATAGGCTATATGCCGCTAGAGGGTGCAGAATTATTCGAGTTATGTATCATGAACGCCCTTTCTGAACTAACCTTAAATACTTCTATGACGTTGACGTCATATATTCTCTTGGTATCCCAAAACGAGTTGTCGCTGCTGAACAAATCGCCTTTAATAGGTGGATCGAGTTCCTCCTTCACAGCTTTTCCTTTGATAACTAAATTCAGGAGGAAGATTTAATATCTAATTAGGCAACAAAAAGATAAACTTGGCAGAAATCAAATGAAAAGGAACATCCGGTAAAAAATATCTTCTTTGGTTATCATTATTTTATCATTACATAAATTAAATACATACAAGTATCTGTTCAATTTTAAATGAAATATCTTGAAAATGTCAAATATGAACTTGATTTTATACAGAGAAAAATATATTCAAGGAGAAAATAAGGCACCCAAACAGAATTTATGTTAAATACAAATAATGGTTTGCATACACGTTTCTTTTGTTTTATATGGCATATGATAGTAGTGCACACGGAATAGAATAAAGAATACGATTTTCTTACTGGACAATCTGTTTGATGCACTGATGATCGTCTTAATTTGGAGGAACGATCATACATGTCTGCAACGAAAGAAATTTCCACAATCGCGTAATTCATCCGATATAAAAATTTGATCAACTGATGACTTTATGCTGACTCGGCAACGGCATTATGACTTTCATCTATCACCTAACCCATATTAATTTGATTTTCAGTTGATTGTGTTTTTAGGTCTACCTGGTTAAAATGTTATTTGTGTTTATGTTAGTATTGAATGGAACCGGAAAAGAAGTTTTGACGTCACACGTAAGTCGCCTTGTCTGTGGGAAATTTAGATTGCAAATGATAAATTATAAATGGTCTTCTGCCATTCTTTTAATGGGGGAGAGGTGTTTTATTACTTTTTAATGAGTAATAGAATCTGTATATACTAACATCTAGATTTGGTTTCCTTCTCCTTTAATGATTTAAACTGATAAGACAAAACAAATCTGCGTTTAACAAATATTGCATTGTAATGTTCCTGAAAATGCTTTGAACGCACAAAATTTATAAAGTGTTATTTCCATTTAGTTCGGTGACACATCGACATAAGGATATATTTTGCATATGGCAGTGTGTTTGTACTGAACCTTTGTTCTTTTCCAACAAATATAAGACAGCATCAAATTATATGCTTATCATGACATTTCTGCAGTCTCGTTTTTGCTTATTCAATGTAAGGAACATGAAGATAGAAACAAAAACTGAGTTGAACAAGAATTTGAAGGATGACACGCCACACCATTTTATCCATATACTTTTGCAACTATTATTCACCTTACTTTCAATATTTATCAAGTAGAGCTAAGTCAAAATATCGGAATGTCAAGGTCAAAGCTGGGTATTCAACTAAGGCTAGAAGACAAACACTTATTTACAATAGATATTAAATATAACATTATTTGGTCATTATGTTGAAATGGCTATCTGGAAAAAATTATGTTTAATTCAGAAGATGAATACTATAACCATTAAACTAGTGGTAATTTTTGAATTTACCAGGATAACATTGTAAACCTTTTTACAGATATTCTCTAGTTAATTGGTGCTGCAGTTATAGTATACTTATATATACCTTTTTACAGATATATATATAAGTATAGTATAACTGCAGCACCAATTAACTAGAGAATATCTGTTAAAAGGTTTACAATGTTATCTTGGTAAATTCAAAAATTATATATATATACACGTCTAAACATGTGGCAACTTTATGACAGACCTTGTCCATCGGATAACGTGGCTAACACCATATATATATATATATATATATATATATATATATATATAATTCGTCTCAAATTTAGACCAACAATGTTAGATCTTCGAATTTGCGTTAGCAAATTTTTGTTCTTCCTCAGCGGAATTCGAACCCTTGCGTCTGTGACATCGTGGCAACACGGCCTGCACCGTGCCCTCGACCACCTAGGCTACATATAAATAAAGCTTTCGGTGGTCGATGTAATGCCTTTCGACTTTATCTAGGGTAGTAACACAGAACATGATGTATAGTGGCAACTAGATGGTGTACCTTTCAGATCAGCTATTGTGTCTATTGTAAAGGACAATAATGTTAATTACCATGCCGCCACATCAGAACGTCTAAACATGTGACAACTTTATTACAGACATTCTCCATCGGATAACACGTGATTATACAGGGTTATCACCAAATATATATATTTCGTCTCAAATTTAGCCCAACAAAGTTAGAACCCTTGTGTCTGTGACATATATATATAAAGTGCCTAGAAAATCAACCTAACATTGTTAGAGTAGATCTGATTCTTTACTTCCTCCCCGAGCGGGGCTGTAACCTGTACTTTTCACTTCTCACTTCTACGACAACACTGCCTAGCATTGCGCAGACGCCTTATCGCCTCATCTAACTATAGCTGATAAAAATCTGCTATATATATATATATTTATATATGTTTAAAACCTTATAAAACAGAACACTTCCGTTCTTTGAAGAACTAACTGCAAGATGAAAAGACATAAGTTATATATATAGCATGTAATTTCACAATCTTTCTTTCATTTTTTTTGTCCACAATATATTTTTATTACCAACCATTTTTAAGTATACTCCGGATACCCAATGAAATCTATGCTAAAATCCCAATCACCCATTTTATCAGTTCACATTTTCTATATAGTGTTAATGCTTATACAGTAAATCAAATGAAAAACTTTACCAAAACTACTTCTACAAAAGGCCTCTTGCAGAGACCCTTGGGGACCACATGAACAACCAAAACATCCGTTCTCCGTTAGATACAACATCAACAAAAGAGTTACAAACCACATCGTCTGTGTCTGAAAAAAATAATATCATTGATTTTTTCTTCTTATTTCAGGTCAGGAATTTATAATGGCAATATTTATTCCATTAGAACTTTTAAATAAAATAGTTAATGTATGTATTGAAACGTTTTCGGAAATGGTAGATCAAATATTATGGTTTAAACGTGAACATTGCAGAACGTTTTCCTACTACGGAACGTTTTTCATGTTTTATATGCGTCTGTAATATTAACCTTTGAAAGTCATCAACGACATAACGAATAACCAATGGAAATGTCGTAATGTCGTCTCATGATGCTGGACAGGCCAATCAAATTGACGCAGTTTTCGTATCACTTTTTCTTATCACACTACGTGCAGTGCATGTGATACGAGAAATACCTCTTCATGCAAGAAATAGATAACAGGCCAATACCATAAGCGTATGGTTAAAGTAGTCAATGTGATGGCAACCCAACAACACAAAAACCGAAAAACTCCTAGACATAATGTGATAACTATTTGTAACATGTATACAACATGAAAAGATTTTTTGTCAAGAAAACATCAGTCCCTTAGTGACAAAACCAATAGGTATAACTAAAGACAAACACTGAATAAGATGAGGTTTCTGTCTTGATCTATATGTGTATATATAGCGTAGCGTGGTTTAACTAGTTAGTTTTTTTCCCCTACTAATATGGGTACCAATTTTTGTGGATATTTGAGTTCGTGGTTTTGTTAGAGTCTGCATACAACCTAAGCCCATTGAAAATGTGTATTCGTTGATCATAAACGGGGTCAATTCCCGTTTATATCGTATGAGGTCACTAGCACCTTGGACTAATAAAATTGAGAATGAAAATGGGGAATGTGTCAAAAAGACAACAACCGAGCAGAAAACAGCTGAAGGCCACCAATGGGTCTTCAATACAGCGAGAAAAATCCCGCACCCGGAGGCGGGCTTCAGCTGGCCCCTAAACAAAAATGTGTACTAGTTCAATGAAAATGGACGTCAAACTAAACTCCAAAACATATAAATGATCTAAAATTAAAAATTATACAAGATTAACAAAGGCAAGAGGCTCCTGACTTTGAGCAGGCGCAAAAATGCGGCGGGGTTAAACATGTTTTGTGAGATCTCAACCCTCCCCCTATACCTCTAGCCAATGTAGTAAAATCAAACACACAGCAATACATTTATCTATTATTCACAGCTAGCACAAAGTGTAAATATCAAAATCAATAGAGAAAAAGCGCTTTTCTCTGTAATGGGTAAAGAGAAAACAATAATACAAATACAAACGTAATTCATGTCGGGGAATTTTATAGTCGACTATTCGGTATGGGTTTTTCTCATTGATGAAAGCCGTACGGTTGCCTATAATTGCTTACATCCACTTCATCTTACTAGGGTGGATATATAGTTGTCTAATTGACAATCATACCACATCCCCTTATTTTTATATAACAATAACGAACATTTAACACAAGGGTTGAATTACCGTGATTTCCCTGTGCAAGAAAAACCAATAAATTCACTCCTCTGACGTCATGCAACAATGGTGGTCTATGGCGTTACCAAAAAGTGAATTGAGAATGCGTTGAAATAGTTCCTTTCACTTTCTACTCTATTTCAATTAATAAGTCCGTGGTAAGTGTAATGAAAAGAATAACTAATCCAAGAATTAAAAAATATATCGAAAAATATGCAATTCGTGACCGATGATAAACTCATGCTCATTTGTGAATTAATGCCTTGTTTGGTCACTCGTTGAATATTTTTCTGTATTTGAATTCTTGGATAAGGTATTCTATAAATGTCGTAGATAGTCAGTTTCTTATACCAAGTGCAAAATGCTGAACCTGCTACGAATTCTTATCTGTTTTGTCTTTCATTATGTTTTTCATGATCTTTTTTTATCTCTTTTTTCGAACTTTTATCAAATTAAAAAAATCAACCAAGGGCACAATATTTTTTTTAAAAACCAGACCATCAACTTCATGAATATGGATTGCACACATTATTCATTTTCCCTATAATCATGATAGTTTCAAAGATTTACTGTTGAAATGTTTAAAAGGTATATTAATGGACACAAAAACACAAAACAAAGTTCAGTATCTTTTTATCATTTTGAAAATTATTATTATCATTATTCATATTGCACTAGTAAATTTAAGACTAGATACGTGTAAATGTTATTAAACGTTCGCTTCGAAAAATCTCCGGCAAAATCACAGCGTAAAATTTGCTACGACAGGACTCGTTTACATAAATGTGTACATAAAAAATAAAATGGTTCATACGATTCATGCATGCCACTCTGTTAGTAAAACACGAGTAGCAAATAACTTTTTTTCCGGTGGTTTGTTGCTTGCTTAACGTTCAGTGGCAAATATTTTAAACATATTCTGGATAACGAGTGGTCCTCATATTTTGATAGAAAAAACACTAAAAAAACATACATTCTTTATGATATAACTTCGATTTTTTTTCAAATGAAATGCCGACATGGTTTGTGATACTAAACTTTTAAGATTATAAATAAAAAAAAAAAAAAAAAAAAAAATGGAAAACGAAAAACGAAAAACGAAAACAAAAATAAAATTACAAAAAAATAAATAAATAATTAAAAATAAATTATATTAAAATACTTACTTTTATTTTTTTGACTAAAAGCGAACAGCTTACACTGCTATTGAACATTTTGTTTATATATAGAGTTACATGTTGTCCAGTTCATTGCATGTAGAGTAGACATTTCCTTTTTGTTAGATTATGGACATGCGAAATTTGTTAATTATTATATGCAAACGACGGCAAATACCCTAAAACATTTTCATATGTTTGTTCTTGTTTCAATGCAAGCTGTTCAATATGTGTATGGAGACTATATTAATCATCTTAATTTTACATTCATCAAACATTCCGTGTCAGGAGGCATTGTAACCGTTATAATGTCAACAATTCTGTGTATTCGAAATTGGTCTGTAGGTTAATTTCCACTATGAAATAACCTTACGGTTCATAATGCCACTACGTTTGGTGCTCTGTAATTGCCCGGAGATATCGTAAACCTGTTAACTAGCCCTTCCCTAATGGCGCATTTGTAAAACTTAAATGACGTAGATATAATATTATATGTAACAGCTTGCATTTCAACAAAACTGATAAATTAGCATTAGCCACAAAAAAAATCTTTACCAACAGTTTTTTTTTTACTTTTGCGTAATTATGTATTGTATTTGCTAGACGCATAAATTCCATAGATCATGTGGACCAAGTTTCGGAAGAGGTCACATATCATCCCTATCCATTAGTATTTACTTTCAGTACATTTTTGTTTCAGTGATTCGTATCATTTTCAATATTTCAAAATCAAAATATGTGTGTTTTACATGTACATCTATCTATTATAGACACGAATTACTCCGAACCGGAGTAGCAAATGAAATCATTTCCCTTATATTCAATTTCTTCTGAGTACGTAAATAATCGTCTAGGAGCGAATCGGCTTGGGATATATTTAAGCTAATTTAGTAGCTTTTCAAATTAGAACACGTTTCACTAAAGTCAAGGGACTAGCTAGCAATCCAGCAACCCAATTACAAGAAATTAGGTCAATAAGCAGGCTAAGATAAAGACAATTGTCAAAACCATATATTTAAAGTTGTATCCCGAATTCTAGATTTCTTGTAAATGAAATTTGCAGGACTGGTGTTACTTGTACAAAACAAATTTTTAAATTGTAAGATCATAAACATGTATATGGTGCTGTGAGTTATTTGTGAGATTGCACACTACGTTCTTTTCAAAATCGTTTCCTTATTGCATAAGACAGAAGAGTAAAAAAGCTCAAATTCGCGTAAAACAACTACAATTTGATTTAAAATGGGACGTTGTCGCAGATTTCCTTATTATTAAAAACCTAAACAACTTGGTCATACATTGAACATGTACAACATACAAAGTTCAATCGATTTCAAGTTCCAAAGATTTTATTGTTGTACAAAATATTATGTTAGATTCAACATGGATTGACCACTATAAATATTTCATTTTAGATGTTATGAATGTATATACATGTATATGTAAATAAAAATATGTAAACACGTCTAAACATGTGACAACTTTGTGACAGATATTCTCCATCGGATAACACGTGGTTATACAGGGCTACAAATGTAACACCATAATATATATTTATCATCCTTTACGACAGACAAAATAGCTGATCTGAAAGGTACACTTGCCACTATACATCAAGTACTTTGTTACAACCTTAGATAAAGTCGACGAGGAAAGGCATTACATCGACCACCGAAAGCTATATTTTTATATAGCCTAGGTGGTCGAGTGGTCTAGGGCGCTGGACACAGTGCAGGCGGTGTTGCCACGATGTCATAAAAGCAAGGGTTCGAATCCCGCTTTCACTTTAAAATATATAAATGTAAACAACTATACAACAAAACTATAGCAATCGCATTTATTTTAATTCAAAAAAATAGTTTTCTATATGTAAGACATTATTTTTTCTGTGCAAATATACAATTCAATCTTTTCTAATCTGTTTTTACGTTCGCATAAAACAAGAATCTAAATTAGGAAATTAAACGGTGAAATCTGGTTGTAAGGTGTCACTCCACCAATTTAAAATTCCTACATATTCAACCAAATTTGTCAATTTTCACTGCTCTCTAAATATTTAACATTCCATTTAACTTCATGAAAAACGTTCACATGTTTTCAACTTTCTAAACGCCAATTTTCAACCAATGGTTAAAATCTTGTAGTCAAACGTGATATTCCGGAACTTCCCTACTTCTAAACATACCGCGTCGGTTTTATGAAAATCCTAATTAACATACTATTTAGCATATCTACCCTTAAATTGTAATGCAAGTTCATGCACAAGTATTTTGGACTCTAAATGGCTCAAATGTATTTCTCATTTAAAAAAGTTTTATTCACGTAAATTCAAGATGGAGGTTAAGCTAGCAGAAAATGTATTTACCAAGTCAGGAATATGACTTGTTTTCCATTCGTTCCGTTCCGTTGGTTGATATAGTCGAGCGGTTGAATTTGTCAGGTTTTATAAACTTCTCCCCTTTTTTTTTGTAATTTACTTTCAAATTGAAGCTCGGTATATTTGTTAATACTTTTTTGCTAGTTTAAATTAGACAACACCATCAATAGAATTATTTTCAGTCAAAGTACCACAGGCACTTGTCTCAGAAAACAAATTCCTATATACCTTAATGTTATATTAAGGTATATAGGAATTTTTTTTCTGAGACAAGTCACTGTGCCTGTGCAAAGTACGGCTACAATTACATAGTTCAAAACGTGAGTGGGTTAATTGGTTGTGTGACTTATATTTTCATTTTGGAATTCACAGTATCCATAGAGCAAAGCCTGAACAATTGACACTATTGTTAAACATCTAATTGTACATGGTTATAAGATCATGAATAGAGGATACAATATACAATTTGATTAATACTTTCTTTAAAACAGAATTTGGGTTACAAAAACATCGAGTAAAATTGAGAAAGAACCAATGCTTACACATCTGTGAGTAAAGATGCTTGAATATATAGACACTAATAGAAATGGGTTGCTGGCTTAATAATCTAAAAGAAGAACGACTCTGCTAACGATGTGAAACAAATGTTAATTGAGATTAATTCCGTTATGATATCATTTATACTTAACATCTATTAAGTAAATGAAGAATGAAAGCACCCTAAAAAGACATAATTGGTTAGCGTGACAGCAATGTGGATCCAACAGCCAAAACTGTGTAAATATATAAATATACAAACAAACAGTTGGTTTTGGGTTTTGCTTTGTCATTTCGGGGCTTTCATAACTGGCTATGCGGTGTGGGTTTTGCTCACTGTCGAAGGTTGTACTGTGACCTATATATGTTAATTTCTACATCTTTCTGTCTCTGGTGGAAGGTGTCTCTGTTGCCATCATACCACATCTTATTTCTAGACGAATAAATCTGACGAAGACATCATGTAGTTGATAGTACATACAGTAAATATATTGAAACTTTGTAAGTGATATTCGAAAATTTGATTGTTTAAACTTCATTACGAACTCTTAAGTAAGTTATACTAAGAATAAAGTTTGCACACTTTGAAAATAACTAGTTTGTGAATGTTAGCTTATGTTTTAATAATGATGGTTGTGTAAAATATCTTTAAATTGTTTTGTTCTACATGTATCAAAAAAGGGATTCAAATTGATAAAAAGGTCGAAGTAAAAGTTCTAAGTATGAAAACGTGTGTCTCATTCATTTGTAGAGTTTATGAACAATAAAACATATTTGAAATAAAGGATAGATACACATTGATGATAAATATCTGTTCAAAAATTATTTGAAGACTACAAAAAGACTAATATGTAGCAACCTTAAGATTGTAATACTTGATGGCATAGGTCGCACTCTCAGCCAACATTTCTGTAAAATAATTTGATATCTACATTTTTTGAAAGGGAAAAAGGGTTCATTACTGGATAAAATGTCTACCTCCAGCCCTAAAACAAACTATTGCTCTATGTCTATGTTACGATTTTCTCCCTAACATTACTAGTCAACACTGTTAGCGGTATACTGTAAATTTTGTAAATGCCGCTTTATTTATTAACGCGCATTTATCGTCAGTATCTTGCCTCCCATCCGAACCAGGTTTATTTACAGCAAAATCAGTTTGTAAGTTAACGATAGTTATAAAGGAGGTAATTTAACTACCCCTATAGGTTATCTTACATTTTAGTTTTTGTCGATTTTGAACATTTTCTGACAGAACCATTTCTTTATCTACATATGATCTAACTTCATGCCGGCTTAACTGACATTTAGAAAATAGGACAGACTATATTGACCATGTTTAGATGTCTTCGATGGTCTTCATTTATACAATTCAAATATCAAACCGACCCTAACAGCTTCCTACATATCAAAAGTAACGATTTAAAGGAATCCTCCCTTTAATAGGATCTGTATCTATGTCTTGCTTTACTAAAAGCTGCCACATCGTTAGTGTCGTCGTTCTGTGGTCGCCTTCGTTGTCGTATGGTAGCCGCGAGTGATGGAGGTCATGGATTCGATTTCCCCAACAGGGTCACACCAAAGACATAAAATGTATATTGGTTTGTTGCAAAGGTATGCGTCATGTTATAGTAAGAAGTCAGACTGATCGGATTAAAAATAATATGTTTGTATAGGGTGACATATCTGTCTGTGGATTGTTTCTTTGAAAAGTAACTAGCACGGTTATATTTTTGTACGGCTTGGCTGTGTAGAACACACACAGATTCATATTACAGTAACGTCTTTCCTGATTATCCATGAACTAGTTGTCACTGGACGTTATATAAACAGCCTGCTATGCTTTCCAACTATATTCCATATTTAGATGAGATAAAAAGATCCGAAGGTCGATTTGTTTTAATTGATTCTAGGAATATTTTTTGCCTCGTTGATGTTGATCAATAACTATGCCTGTCTTAATCCAAGACAGTGTTGGATACACACTGATAAATTGATAGTTATAACATGTTTTGTAAAACTTTGGCAAAGATAAAAGATAAGATTTCTCTTGAGTTTCCAAAGATACATTGTATATGTATAAATCTTTATATACACAAGATATAAATGCACACATCGCTCTTTTTTTTATATTCGAACGTAATCTAAACGGTTTTGTTTAGCTTGTGTCTAACCAACTATCCCGTATTTTAACTAGTTTAAATAAAGCAAATTCCATAAATACGTTCAGAAAAAGAAAACACAAAAGAATAGGAAAGAAAACATTGGCCATAATGGTATGATTAGCTTTACTACTTCTTTTCGTTTAGACGCTTCTTAATGAGGGATTGAAGAAGGGGTTTCTTAGACGACACTTAGTTGTGCGGGATCAAGGGGGGGGGGGGGTCTCAACATTGGATTTTGGGTACAGTTGTGCATCTTGGATTTAAAAAAACACCCCCCATTCATATATTGAATAATTGTGAAATCCCTACCTATACATATATATAATATACTTTACTTTATATGAAATATTGAACTTTTCAAACAATAACAAGTCAATTACTAAAATTGAGAATGGAAATGGGGAATGTGTCAAAGAGACAACAACTCGACCATAGAGCAGACAACAGCCGAAGGCCACCAATGGGTCTTCAATGCAGCGAGAAACTCCCGCACCCGGAGGCGTCCTTCAGCTGGCCCCTAAACAAATATATATACTGTGGATTCATTATTATTCGTTGGATACCAATTTTCGTGGATTTCGTGGGTACAGGTGAACCACGAAATTAAATATCAACGAACATGTAAGTTTTCCTGAATCCACGAAAATTGGTACCCACGAAAATAAATGAATCCACAGTACTAGTTCAGTGAAAATGGACGTCATACTAAATACTAATACTGCCTATTGATATATTTCCTCGGTAAAATTGCACCCCATTGATATATTTGACGTATCAAAAAAAGGACCCATTCCAGCGGCACATATGTATATACCTTCATATAGGAAGAGACACCCCCCCCCCCCCCCCCCCCCGTGTGCGGGATGTATATAATCGTTTCTCGTCGTATATGGGACTTCAATTCTGGGGAAAAGTCACAACGTTGTTTGCATGTTACGAGGTCAAGGAACGGTTCTTTGGAGAGATCAATAAGTGATCTAATGCTTAATTTATTACCCAATCTGCACACCGTTCATAATTTTTTCAGTTTGCAGTAGAATAATGTGTCTATACAAATCCTACAAAACAATTGCTTTATTGCTAACGTGTTCTCGTCAGGAATTTGATTACTACTGAACGCAAGGCAACCACAAAGTAGTGAGTTTAGACAGTAGTTATCGTTACCAATTGCAACAATGCTCCAACTAAAAAATCCAGTTAAAAGTAATATGTCTTATTCTATCGTTCCATTATTATTTCCGACTACAAACGTATAGATGCCAGTTATGTAAAGAGTGTAGATTTTGGAAAAAAATTACCCCCCCCCCCCCCTCCCTCCCCGCAAAAAAATCTGCAGATGTTTAAAGGCACAGTTAATTTTAGTTTATAATTAAACTGTCCACAGCACAGAAGAAATCAGTCTTGTAAGTTTCATTTTGTTTTTATTGATGTACTTTTCCCATCATAACAGACAAGACTTTCGGTTCTAGTTTTCAAGTTTGGATTTAACTACTTTTTTTAAATTAGTTTCTTCTCGGATTTAAACAGCTGTTATTCTGCTCAACATTCCACTTGCATTCACCTGATTCCTCTTGACTACATCGCCCGTATTGCTCGAGGCATGTAGTATCATAACCTGGAAATTCATCCACATAACATGTGTCAATTTTCTTGGTGGCATCAGTTTGCCAGGGGTAAATCTACAAATAAAACAAATACACTTCTTATTTTGTGGTTTCTCTTTTTCTCTTGATACAACTTTTTTCCCCTATTTTATTCTTCTAATTCTCCGCCATTGGTTATTTAATTTCGATAAAAATAAAAGAAATTATTGTATTTGGGTATACGTCATTAAGATAGCAACCCAAAAGCGCAAAACAGATCCAGGTGAGGCATCTAGAGTTACCATTGATACTAATTTCAGTTATAGACGATTGTCTTTGTCCTGACGACAAGCTCTACGACGACTGCAAATCTATGAAAGCAGATGTTTGTAAAAATTTACAATTTATCATTAAGTATGATAAAGCCATCTTTAAATACAAGTATTTAAACTTACTTGACACCTGCAATCATACAGTCCTCGGATACCTTCCAGTTGAACATTTGTTAGAGAGCTGAACGCTGCTTGGAAATTACATAAACCAAACTTAAGCTTACTTTTTCCATTTTGTCGACCTGAAATTACAATTTTTACGTTTTTTGTTATTACTGCTTCATTGTATTTGTGCCAACTAGGTCTTTTTATTAAAATTTTATTAAAACAACCTTATTTTTTTGTTTTTCTTCTCTTTTAATGTTTTTTTTATTTAGATAATGATGTTGAATGTTATCCTCACCTTATGATTTTGATTGCCTTCTATTCATTTTTCTCTTTCAATCTCTTGTCAATCAAAGAAATGACAGGCTTGGTAAGGGGGTGGGGTGAGGCAGGGGGATTGTGAAAATGAATTCTTCGCCTGGATAGAACTGAAAATAAATTAACTTTGAACAAGACAGGATGAAAACGAAAACTTTGAAACACATAAGCATGCGCAGCAACAGATAAAAATAAATGATCAATCCGGAAAAATTCTTCCGTGGACTCTGATGGAGAGTTTTCTTATTTGCAATCATACCACATTTTCTCATTTTTGTATAAACATAAAAATATGACAAATAGTAATACCTGTTATCAAAATGTCAGTATTTAATGCCAGATAACCACCACACATTGCCCCGTTGGCTCCCGTAACAGCCTGGACAGTATCACCTACTTTTATATCTGTTTCTGATGGAAGCTGTGGTACATAATAAATCAAGTGTAGTAATGTCAAAAGGGGGAATGTATACATATGAAAATTAAATCATGGAAGCAATAAATTAAATATATTACCAATTTGATTTATAATGTAAATACAGAAACTATTGCGTGTATTTATTCTTGCGATTTTTGAAACTGAACAAAAATGCAATGTTAATTATTACGATTTCAGGCGGGAAAACTTCATACAAAACAAATGTATCAGACATCAGAATGCGAGTTCTTATAGTTGGAACACTCGCGCAGTCGCATTATTCACATAAATAAAAACCTCGCAATAATTTCTGAATTTACAGTAAATACCTTTGCGCATATCAAAACACATTAAAATAAACTTTAATAAAGTGTAAATCGTGTGGTAAAAGGACAATTATCCTGTTTCCTCTCAGTGAAACTACGAATATTTATTCCGTTTTAAATATTTGTTTTGGATGTTCTATTAAGGCAGTTTCGTGTGTGAACTAGTGGCTTATTTTGAAACATGTTCCTGTAAGAGTAAGGTAAAAGACTGGTTTTGTTTTACTTAAAGTTACTGAAGATCTGTTAGAGTGATTTTAAATCAGGACAGTTGAATTGGGGAATTTGCGCTTACAAAAATAAATAACTACCCCATCCCTATTTAGATATGAACAATTCCATAATATGTGTCAACTAAATACATCAGGACATAGCGCAGCTCGAATCGTATTTTATTTAATATGTTCCAATATTTCTACAATAAAAATATGGACTTTGTAGCTTGCTGTTTGGTGTGAGCCAAGGCTCCGTGTTGAAGGCCGTACTTTGACCTATAATTGTTTACTTTTTACACATTGTGACTTGGATGGATAGTTGTCTCATTGGCACTCATACCACATCTTCTTATTTATATTTGTCATACTTTCACATAATCAAAGGATCGTTCACAGGTTAGTTTACAACGAGCTCGCAGTTTTACTTCTTCATGTTCTTAATACGAAATCAAATCCATGGTGAAATAAAATGAAAATAACACTTTTTAAAATGTACTAAGCACCAGGAAGGACATTTTAAATCATTGGATAAGGTGAAATGATAATATGATCTTTAGATTTATTTAGCAACGATTTGAATACAGCTCCACAAGCCGATCCCAAATTAATTTAACTGCCCTTAGGCTGGTACATTCGCTGCAAAGTCTCATCTGCGCCACTGGGAATAATAAAAAGAGTAACGTTCCCATAATACAACAGCAATTCTAAATATGCCATTATTATTATTTACTAAACAAAGGCTTATGTGTTGACCATACGGATTTTCATGACATAATTATGTAAACAATAAAACTAATTTCGTTACAAAAAACTACACTTTACACTAACCTTAAAAATCTCAATAACTTCAATTTCATAGACGACGTCGCCATACATTCGCAGTAATTTCGGAAATGCACCGTTGTTTATCAGAGGGTTCTTCAAATGATCTTTCTGTGGTGATGAATTTCTGCTGATTGCTTTGCCTCTGATAACTAAACAAAATCAAATATGTACTAACAAGTACCATGTAAATATACATTGTATATCTTAAAGGGATTTCTAAGTTGGTCATGTGTTTAGAAATCAACCATTTTGCTATTAGATTTTCGAAGTACACAAATCAAGTTGTGGCAATGTGAAATGTTGTAAACTTAAGATTAAAAGACTTTTTTTTTCAAAATGGACCTGATGTAAAAATAAATTAAGGGGAAATTGATCATACCGCTGTATAAAAGTAGCAAACATATTTTATTTTGTACAGTTTCCCACTTACAGTCTCTCAAATATTCCGAGGAAAATGTAAATACATGAACGTCTGTACTATTCAAAAGCGTGTTCCAATAAAATTTAAAACAACAACAACTGCAAAAACAATGGATATGGTACCACTAATAATGTATCGGTGAATGATCCCAGTTTATGAAAGCCATGGAAAATGTTGATTGATCTGGAAGTAATTCACAAACAACTGAATGATTAATTGTTGTTTGCATATAATTAATGCATATTCAGGATGAGAGAAAAAATTACAATTGTAAAATACGTCGGTCCTTCAAAAATGAGCGAAACCTGAATGAAGGGCAGGAAAGGGTTAACTGTAACTGGAAAAAAGTTTTTTTTTTTTTATTTTTTTTTATTTTTGTGTGGCCAACCATGGTCTGCTTATTATTTGATAGTTGCTTTGAACTATTTTTAGAAATCTGTCAGTTCTCTTAGATTGGTGTTTTGTGTCTTTTATAATTTGTTACTTGATTTTTTTTTAATGTGGGCAGATCTATTCAATGCCTTTTCAAGTTGAGGTTTTTCCAAAGTTGTGATTATACTATCGTCTCACGTTTGGGAAATGTTCAGCGCTCACTCTCTATGTAGTCCAGTGGTTGTTGTTGACTGTTGTCTGTCATAATCTTTTTTCGTAAAATGTTGTTAACTTAGACAACGCCAGCCTTTTGAATTTATTCCCCTTGTGCTCCCCACGGATATTTGATAGTTACCATACGGCAATGCTCATCATTAAAGGTCACACAGTGACACGTAGTTGTTTACACTATTTCTTGTTGTATGGATGATAGTTAAGTCATTGAAAATTATACCACATGCAACGTTATTTTTATAAAAACAGCTGCAAACAGTAATTGGAAACGAACAATAATAACATATTGAAAGACATATGTCAATTGTTATTGAATTTTCGGAAATTGAAATGGAACCTGCATACTGACATCATAAAGCAACATTAACAAGAATGTGTCCATAATACACGGATTCTGCCCCACTCACACTATCATGTTCTATGTTCAGTGGACCGTGAAATTGGGGTCGAAACTCTAATTTGGCATTAAAAGTAGAAAGATCATATCATGGGGAACATGTGTACTAAGATTCAAGTTGATTGGACTTCAACTTCATCAAAAACTACCTTGACCAAAAACTTTAACCTGAAGCGGGACAGACGGACGAACGAACGAACGGAAAGACCGAAAAACATAATGCCCCTCTACTATCGTAGGTGGGGCATAAAAATGAATCTTTAGACTTCAAATGAACAAACAATAAAAGCTTTTGAATTTAAGAAAGAACCATTGAACAAACGTTTCGGCAGCAAACTCACCAACTTCACTTCCACAAAATGCCGTCTGTGAATGACTTGGAAAACAGGAACAACCGAATCCTCCATCAATAGTTAGAAATAGTAAAAACAAACTTATAGTCCTCATCATCTGAAAAGTCAAAGTAATAGGTGAATTATAATCTATCTTAAATTCTAATGTTTCACGAGACATTGGTTATATGTATTCTGTCTATAATTTTTATGAATTCATTTCACTGTGACTTGATAATAAGACTAGATATTTCTTTATATTGCAGTTCATTCAAAATCCTGCACCAATTGCAACTTGTTAAATCAAATCAAACTGTTCAAATGGTCAGATATTTTAACTAACTTCTGTACGTAAACAACAGTCAAGTCAATAAAGGGTAAAGCAAAATGTTTTTTTTTTTTGTATTTTGCAAGTGACTACAATTGAAATAAAGAGGGCAGCTACATGTAGTACGAATTAATTGATGTACTATTAGGTATGGCGCTTTCAGACTTATTTGTCCTTTCACGTTCTGTGCCTATTTTCCTATATACCAAGGATCATATGTCTTGAACGGTAAATTTAAAAAAAAGTCAATATTTAAATTTGACCTCCATTTTATCACCATCAACGAAATATTGAAATTTGAAAATCATTTGTTGAATGTTTTATAAGTAATTGCACAAAAAACACATTCAGTGCAAATTTCCAGTCTATCAAGGACGGCGAAAGTGAAATTCGTCGATATTAAACTTTACCTCAATTTTGTCTTCAGTAAAAACATATTAGAATTTAAAAATAATTGGTTGAACGGTTCATAAATAAATGATTAACATAAGACTTACCTCTACCTGAACTAATTTAGAAATATTACATTTATTGAAAATTAGTGAACTTTTATACTTAGTACATATCAACGTTATTAATTATCCAAAATCAGTTATCCACATATGTGTATAAAATATGCCTAAGGATATATATGTACAATGTATCTATGAAGCAAAAGCGTACCCGCTAGCTAAATTGTGTCGACCGATGTCCATTTCCAATAAAGGTAAATATTTTAAGTGCATATTCTACAACTGATATAAAAACTACCCATGTCGCTTATATATAGGTGATAATTTGTTTACCTTATGTTGCTTATCTTGGATGTTGCTTGGTCGATACCTCTGCCGGTGGACTGTCAGTCCCCGAGGGTGTCATCAGCTCATTAGCCAGTTTTTTTGGTACTGACATAATTTATAACAAACCTGTCTAAGATTGTCCGTTTATAAATTTTAAAATTATAAAGTACAAAGAAACTAAGGTTTCAACTCCCTCAGGAAAAAATGACCTTAGTTGGATTTGGCTTTTTTTTCCGGATCTTTTTGGTCATATAGCTTTATCTGTTTCGGTTCTTATACATCCTTCGCTTTCAAATATTCGGCTTTGAGCGTTACTGATGAAGGTAAATCCAGCTGATGTGTTTGAAATTGTATCAGAGGCTGGAATACTTTCAGATTCATTTGAAAAAAAAATATGTTTTTGTGCACTGTACATTTTTTACTTTATTCACGAATAAAACGTATAAATTGGAAAAGTCGGAAATTGTGTGGAATACCATTTTCACTCAGTTCTCACACAAGATGCTTCCATGTGCACGAGAGAAGGAGAAAGACAAAAACTTTCACATTAAGAAGATGGAGTTCTAAAGTTGAGAGAATGTTGGGGATTCGTCATTTTAGAAATTCCTAGTGAGCATTTTGTATTGTTTTTCATGTTAACAGACGAAGGTAAATCACTTTTTTTATACTTCAAATTTAAGAAAACTTAGCCACAAGACCCTCAACAGATTTTCAGTTTGATCTTGTCGATTGGGGGATATGTTACAGTTTTTTACATGCATGTCTAATATATATTTAAAAACAAGTACATAAATTAAGTAATTTTTTTTAAACTGGCGTAATCAAATTATAAAATTAAAACATTCCTAAATAAATTATAAAACAGTCATTAAAGACAAACGGAATAGTGTAAAAAATATATTAATAAAGTAGACTGTCATGAATAAATATTGCATTCTTCTTTTTAAATGAATTTAAGTAAGAAAGATTACAAAAGTAAATACAAAAACGTACTCTTTGAATATATTCCGTGAACCTAATTTCTCTTCTATTCATCTGCAGCTTCACTAAATCATCTATCATATCAGCCAAGAACATTTATATATGCAGAAAAAGAGGAAGTCAAAAAAACACTTGATCAAGAGTCAAAATTAAGCTTTTTTACGAACAAATACTTATTTATATTTAAAAAAAGGAAAGGCTTATAAATAAACATTTTTATCTTTGCTTGCCGACTTCCCGGAAATGTGAAGGAAATATGGTGCTATTTCATTTAAAGTACTTTGAATTCATGTTACATTAAAATCAATGCAAAATTTTAAAAAATAAACGAATACTTCAGGATTCATATTATTGAAAGAGAAATCAATTATTATAAATTGTGTTCTTAATGCAAACATGTATAGTGGGAGGGTTGAGATCTCACAAAACATGTTTAACCCCACCTCTGGTCTTTGTTAGTCTTGTATGTTTTTTTTTTTTTTTTTTATTTTTTTTTTTTATATGTTTCTGAGTTTAGTGTGACGTCCATTTTCGCTGAACTAGTATACCTTATTGTTTAGGGGCCAGCTGAAGCCTGCCTTTCGGGTGCGGGATTTTCTCGCTATGCTTAGACCCATTGGTAGCCTTGGGCTATTTTCTGCTCTTTGGCCGGGTTGTTGTCTCTTTGACGCATTCCCCTCTTCCATTCTCAATTTTAGTATTTTTTATAAAAAGGTATAAGCCTTTATTTACTACATATAACGCACGGGCAGTTTTCAGTTTTAAACGAACTACCATTTTATGGGTTGCGACATTTTGTGGAACCTTTCGATAAGAATGTTTAACCCTGCCGCATTTTTGCGCCTGTCCCAAGTCAGGAACCTTTGACTTTTGTTAGTCTTGTATGTTTTTTTAATTTTGGTTCATTTATATGTATTATATTGATAATTTTTATAAGAAAAGTATAAGCTTTTATTTTCTACGTATATCGCACGAGCAATTTTTAGTTTTTATGTCGCACGGGCAGTTTTGAGTTTTGATCGATCTACCATTTTATGGGTTGCGACATTTTGTGGAACCTTTCGATAAGAATATTCTACGTCATACCATCCAATCTCTTTTTCATGTTTGAATATTATTTGAGTAAGAATGAAATTTTGGGAAATGTCAATTCGTTTTATTAATCTATTTGATGATCGTTTGTATTTGGATAGATGAATTTATAAATGACTTTAGGATTAATTTCGTTCAGCTAATGACTGTGATGCGGACTCGGCAAATTAATTCCAGTAGCCAGCATTCTGGTTCGATATAAAAACAACTTGTCCCAAATATTCTGGTTTATTGTCCTTTATGTCTTGTTGAAGGTATTTGGATTGACTTGTTGAAAGAGTAAGTTCTGTTTATACTGATGCTGAAAAAAAATCCCGAAATAAGTATGAGAAATTAGCCTTGTCAGCAAAAAAGTAAAATGATTTATTTGAATATACAAAATTAATGGCCTACTGACAGTCACTAAATGGGAAGAGATGTTTTATTATTGTTTGATAATTAATAAATTCTGTATTCATTATTGATAATTACATTTTATTCCTTTACGGTTCCATGTCAGCGTTTTTTATTTGTGGTAAAATTGAAAAAATACTCTTCTGTTACCTATAATAAAAAATATGCAACTATAAATAAGAAAACGTGGTATGAGTGCCAGTGAGACAACTATTCATCCAAGTCACAATGTGTAAAAAGTAAACAATTATAGGTCAAAGTACGGACTTAGATTACTCGGAACAGCAAGCTATAAAGGGCCCCCAAAAGACGTGTAAAACAATTCAAACAGGAAAACCAACGGTCTAATCTATATAAAAAACGAGAAACACTTATGAACCACACCAACAAACGACAACCACAACTAGTTAATTTTTGTCAGATTATCAGTACAAGTACATAATCTAAATTACAAATCATATCATGTATTTGAATGATAAATTTGATCTATTTTTCAATGATTACGAGCGCTCTCTGATACATATAGTGGTGTATGTGCTAAGTGCCGATCTAAATCAACTATTTTCAAACGATTTTTTATGCTCTTCAATTTTGTTATGAAAATGGCCTTCCAACTGTTACTTTTTGTAATCTTAGGCCACTGACGAGTCTTCTGTAGACGTTAATCATGTCTTATACGTTCTAAATGGTAAGCCTGATATCTTTGAGTTTTCAGTTTGTTCTTACGTTGTGTTATTACACGATTGCCCCAGTTTCTGCATTTTTGCAAACATGTCCATGTCAAACCCGCTGCAATCTTGTTTGTGCCTATCCCGCTTCGCTGCAGGCGAGACTGAGTGATTTTTCCCTGGGAATTGACAATACAAATGAGAATTTAAATGTTTTAATTAATATTAAAGTATTTTTATCCTAGGAAGGCTAGTCCATTTATAAAAAATAGTTTGAAATGTATTGCTTACGCTATACAATAATATAATACCAAACTTTGTTTAACATTATTCAAAATCTACAGGCATTCATAAATATTATTTCCTGACTTAAAGGGTAGAAGCGTTTATCAAACATGTACCTTAATTTTTTTTTTGGAAAATGATGGAAAGTCATAACCACTTCGAAAACGACAAATACAAAAAATATAGAAAACTTTGACTGCATCTCAGTCAATGCAAATATTGATTTATATTTTTAGATTTTAAGAAATATGAACATTGTTATCTGTGTGTGCAAACTTCCTTAAGTTTCCTGGACAATATTGTGATATTGTGGTAAGTTATAACACGGAAGTACTAAATATAGTCAATATAATATTATAGTACTTGTATTGTATTAATGATATATACAAATTAATATCAAGAGGAAATCAACCAAAACCAATACTACAGGATTTTTATTATGAGTAATGGTTTCCAGGTCCTTGTATAATTATATATAAAAAAGATACCAGGCTTATAATTTTGTACGCCAGTCGCGCGTTTGGTCTACAAAAGACTCTTTAGTTACGCTCGAATCAAAAACGTCAAAAGGCCAAATATAGTACGAAGTTGAAAAGCATTTATGGTCAAAAATTCAGAAAGGCTTTCCCAAATACAGCTAAAGTAATCTATTACTGGTGTATAAAGTCCTTAGTATTGGGAACAGTTAAACGTTTTATAAATATTACGATATCAATGGTAATTCATGTCAACACATAAGTGCTGAGTCATGGGCTGGTGATATTCGAATTACGAATAAATTATATTTTAATAAAAAAAAACATTTATAGGTAATAGCAAAGGATTATTAAAAAGTCAGTTGAAAGTCGACGTCTGTCTAGCGTTTTTACCGCGTATGCCAGAAATGCTCGCATTTATTTCATTCACCACACCTTTGACGCATTGCATTGATCAAATTTCGTGCTCAAATGGGTATAGGTTTGGGGAAAGATCGAGATACCCATTTTAATTAAATCAGAGACTACAAAAATATCTTAAGTAAGTCTAAGAGGATGACATATCATTTTTTTTTATCAAATATTAAATGCATGGACGCTCTTGCAATAATTAATACACCACAATAGTGATAAAATTGTATATTGGTTAACTGTGCTAAACCAAATTAACTCATAAACAAAAAAATAATTTATATGTATGCCATGACTTGTGTTGTTTGCAAAAACAGCGTCAAATGCACATTCTTGTTCGAAACGTAAAATAAATGCACATGGTGTATAAAACAAAGGCGATGAACATATGTTTTATATTTCCTATGTCCAAGTGAACAAGGAATTCAAACAAGCAAAGCAATACAAAGGAGTGTACAGAATAACGGACAGAACGCATGACTGACGCATAAACACAATTTTAGAGGAGGATAACATTGGCTTTTTGTTTTCTCGGATACTGACTTTGAGAAGTTATTTATACTTAACGTAATAACAATTCATCTGTAATGAACGATAGACAAAACTCATCAAAGACCCAGGGTTATAATTTAGTACGACAGATGCGTGTATCGTGTCTACATACAATTCACCCAGTGGAACTCGAATCAAAACAAATCGAATACAATTACGTTGTTGAGAAGCAGTGTACATTTAAAAAAAAATTAAAACATGGTTCAAATTGGATTATCTTCCGTTTGCCAGGAAAATTCTCGATCGCAAAATATATGTTTAATTGTCCATTACAAACGATTGAATTGATTGATTGATTGATTGATTGGTGTTTAATGCTACTTTCAGCAATATTGCGTATTTCGTGGCAATTATTATTGATGGAGGAAGCCGTAGTGACTGGAAGTGGAATTAACCACCGACAGTTGGTAGGAAAACTGACAATCCTAGTCAATTGGAGTCTAGCGCACCTGCTACTTGCGGGATTCGAACTGAAAACCAGTGTTGACAGGCTAGTGGTACAGTAGTTCGACTACTTAAACCACTCGGCCCCCAAACGATTGAAAGTACTCATACTTGAGTAAAATAAAAGTTATGTTAAGTGTCTAGATGTTTCTTTCATGTTATTCAAGGAAAACGTGTCGTTTCAACAGACGTTGTTATCATGTGGTTTTTATTTCTTCGTTGTATTAACACATAATTGGTCGGTACCGCTGCCGTTTCATAGTATCATATACGTGAGTACTATCCACTAAGCAGCGAGTGCTGCGTTGCTGGCACAATTAAAATGATAACTATTTCCACTTCATATGATGTACCTATACTCAAACTTTGCAAAGTTGCAGCTCCCACGGTTACAGTAGATCTCAGACAGTTTTTGCTGTTCTGTTCGGTTTATGTGTATTTTTGTTTTCATGCTCTGAAAATAAATATTTTGCGGCTTCCAAAATTATGATGTCGAACTTTTCGGATGAAGGTTATACTAGAACCACGTGTTGTATACAAGACACGTTGTTATTTATTAAAGCATTATTTTTATTCGTTTTTACTCTTGAAGGCTTGCGTAATAGTAATGACAGAAAATCTACAAAACAACTTCAGACATGAATATTTCTGCAAAACAAATTAAAAAGAAGCGGATAATTGGCTTGAGTGTCCTTTTAGCACCTGCCATTGGTGACTCCTGCATATGAACAACAATACTATTTGTTCATATGCATCAGCCACGAGGAAGGACTTGACTCAAAACCTTTTT